GAGGCTCCATGAACACCCAGCCAGCTGACCCGCTGCATCGTTCTGCCAGGGACAAGGACAGCAGGATGAGCCCAAGGAAGAGGGCCAGATGCAGCCTGCCTGTCCCCATGGATATCTCCTCTCCAGAGAAGCCTGGGGCTAACGGCACTGACCAGTCCAGAGTGCAAGAGGGAAGCCCTGCTCCCCGTGCGGGCAGAGCCTCTCCCTGAGCCCTGCTTTTGGCGTGCCCGGGATGCGGGGCAGCACATCCTCCCAGCCGCCAGACCAAGGGCTGCTGCGCTCGCCGAACAAGCCACGCAGAAGGCAAGTGGGGAAGCACAGTCCCAGCCCTCTGCGTCTCCGAGCCAAAACCTGCAGCTCCTTCAGGGCTGTTCCTGTGAGTCACTGGCTGGGAGAACCAGTGCCACTCTCATCTACATCAGGCCAGGGGCAATTCAACCGCTTCACACCAATTTCAGCTCCTCTTGCACAACCTGCCCGTATGGCTTCCTTACCCCTTGCTCAGAGGCTCCTGACCCGGGCTTGGACTTGTCTGGCCACATAACTACTGCTTTGGGTTTCTAGAGAAGTTGGACAGTGGCGGGGAGGGAGGGGGAACCAAAACAGAGGAACATCAAAGAGCGCAGAGCTGGCACGACCAGCACGAGGCAGCTGCCGACGCAGCAGGCCGCAAAGCGGGCGGCAGGAAGGGGAAACAAGCGGGGCAGAAAACGGCCCCGGAGCTCGTCACGAGAAGCCCTGCAAGCCCGGAGCCTGCGCCGGCAAATGCTGGCAGGAGCGGCAGAGGCTCGGGCGCTTGTTTGTCAAGAAGAGGGTGAGCTGATTCAGCGGGGAGCTGCTCAGACAGGGCGGCTTTTCCTGGTGTTTCAGCCGCTCGGCTCAGCCTGTCCACAAGCTGCTGAGGGCTGGGCCCTGGCGAAGCACCAAGTACTTGTCTGATGCCCTGTAAATTATAAATGCAAAGTGCCACAGCTTCCCAAACAGGTTTCTTTTGGTCCTGACCAGCTGTGAGGCTGAAAATGACAAATATTTGCCAGTGGAGGAGACCAAGGGAGCCCGTTGCCTCGAGCAGAGCCAAAATCAATACCTTGGAAACCCTTCCCTGTATTTAGACTCGGCAAAGCAGTTCTACTCCTTCCAAAGCCTTGGCGCCTGGCAGAACAAGAGCAGGACTCCATCCAGGGATGCTGGGGCAATCTGAATATGTGGGCTTGCAGGAAGGGAATACGCAGCGCCCAGAGACCGGAGAAGTTACTGGTACCCAGGAGCCCACATATTGCTGCCAGCTCCGTGCAGCTGCCAAACCCCAAGGGGCTCTCACCGCGGGAAGAGAGAAGCCGACGGGTCTTTCGGCGAAGGCAGAAGGGGAAGCAGGCATGGTAAATACAGCCACCACAATGACCTACAGCTTACCCAGCCACGTCAGCACCAAAGCCAGGCTCAGCAACACCTTCATCTCACTCCAAAGAGAGCAGCAGAGGTGACGCGTGCATCGGTTTCCCCGGGGCAGGACACCAACAGCTTGCAACCGAACCCCAAGGTCAGAAGACGACTTCCTTCAGTTCTTCGGAGAGGGCCACGATCTTTGCTGCCCGGATGTTCAGCCTCTCAAGGCAGCCACTAGCCCAGCTGGGAGCCTGAAACTCAGCGAAGCACAGATGTCAGACACATCGCTGGTTTGAGGCTGCTCTGAGCCCCGGAGAGGAAGAGAGAGCGAGCGGAGGGCTCAGCTCGAAACACCTTTGCGTTTGCCCCCCGCGCTATGAATCTTTCCGGTGGTTTGGGAGTCGCATCTT